AGAGCACTCCTAGGCACATACCCACCCTGCTGAGCTGTTTGTCTGCAAATAACAGGAGAGATCTGTGGAGCCAGGTTTCCCTGACTCAGTCAGGCTAGGTGAGGACCCATAGCAACCCCCTAGCAACCACCAATCAGCATGAGACAGGGAAAATACCTGGGATGCCAGATGAACCCCCCAGTAGTTTATGGTGGTTGATAACATGTTGGGAAACCACGTAGTTCAGCATATACTCCCCTCATGGCCTAAACCAATCAGTTCAAATGAATCCCCCACTTGTACTAAGCAATCACCCTTACCAACCAATTCCGCCAGTGAATGTGCTAATCATGTTTTAGAGTTGTTTTATGTTTTTCCCACAGTGTGTGATGGATGTGGGAAAAACATAATGATGTATGTGAAGTCCCTGCCTTCCCCAAAGAGTGTATAAAACTACTACAAACCCTGGGTTCAGGGCCTCTTAGCGTCACCAGTTGCTGTGTGCGCGCAGAGGACCGAGCTAGCTCACAATAAACCCTTCTTTGCTGCTTAAGAAAAAAAAAAGTGAAAAGATGAGATTTTTTTTTCTGCAGCTTTTTAATAAACTAAATAGAACAGACTATCTAATGATTATGACAACTCTGAAACTCTAATTATGTGGTCAGTCCTTGGTGAAGCAGCCTACGTGAGAATGTATTTTAGCATATAGTAAAATTAATCCAGAGGCCATTTAATGGACAGTTATGCAAAGAAATTGCAAGCAAACTGCCTTTTTCTGCTGAAATATGAGTCCATTACAGCCAGGGAGGGCTACTGGAATAATTCAAGAAATTTTTAACTCTTGGAAAATAAAAGAAAATGTTCCTTATCCATTTGAGTCTTCCCCAAATCCCTCTTTCTAAATCTAAGTATGATGAAAGTTGGACCTTGAATAGAAATTTACTTCCAGGAAAACAGTTTGGGCTAATTCTTCATTTTCATTTTTTAAAAAAGAATTCAATTCTAAAAGGCAAATTTTAATAAGACTTTTAGCACCAATAGTAGGTATTCTTTACTTTTTTTTAAAACAGAAAAAGAAGCTAGGCAAGGCATCTGCAATTTCTTCTTAAATGCTCTCAGAATTAGTAAGAAATTTATTTTTATATTACCCAAATATAAATAACTATAGTTTCAAATGGCAGTATATGGGGAAACTCACACACATTACTAGAGGATCATTACAAATAGATACAGGACAATTTTTAGTAATATCAAAATTACAAAAACACTAACCTCTGTCCTAGCAACCCCAGTGCTGGGCATTGATTCATTTTACAGATCAACCTGCACACATGTGAAATGATAAATGGACAAGGTTAAGCATTTCTTAACTTACCCCCCAAAAAAAAAAAAAAAACCCTGAAAACAACTCAGTGCACATCTAGGTGAAATTGTTAAATTAATTATGGTACTATGTACAATGGAATACTATACAATTATAAAAAGTAATGAAAGCTCTGTATCAGTGCTCTCCACATACACAAAATTTTATAGAATCACTTTAAGAAACAAAAGGAAATTGGCTGAATATTAATATTTTATTTTATCTAATCTATTAAAAATGTTTATTTTACCTTATATTAAAACATTAGTGAGACTACAAAAAAGAAACTTAAATCTTTAAAATTGAGGTGTATAGTTTAGAGCATAACWCTGTATTACTGAGGGTTAAAGTGAAATGTAGTCCTAACCCTAACAAAACAGTAAAATCAGTAAAGTCAGGTTTGAAATGAAGTTTCTACATTGCTTCCACTTTAAGTCTAAATTAAAATGAAATAAAATTTAAAATTCAATTTTTTAGTTGTATCATCAATCCCGGAAGTGAGCACATATMAATTGCTCAGTAGCTGGTTACATATGGTTTGTAGTGACCTTCTTGGACAGTGTAGCTCTTATAAACCAGTCTCAAAACTCCTTTTGTATAAGAAAAGGAGGAAATAGAATGTATATTCTTATTTGCTTGCATTTGCATAGAGAAACRGGAAGGACTGATACACAAGTAACTAAAAGGTGTCTGTAGGGAATGAGAAGGAATAGTGTGAATGGGGCAGGGGTGGGAGTAAGTTTCCACTGTATGCCTTATACCGCTCTGATTTTTACACTGTCTCTTATGTATAGGAGAACATTTGTGCAAACAAGATTACCAATATGGCATGAGCATAAGGAAGAGGTAGAAGCAGAACCTAAAAAAATGATCAGTTTACGGAACTCTACTATCTTTACAACTGTTCTGTAAATCTAAAACTACTCTAAAATTGAAAGTTT